TATTCTTGTGTTGACCCTCTCCTCCTCTTGCTGAGTCAACGGAACTGCGAGGCAGAGTGACAGGCAGGCTGGCCTGCTGGCCTGTGGAGCATGTGGGTGAGAGACTGAGGACCAGACAGAGACTGGGGCTGCCGGCTGAGGAGAGCTGTTGTTGTTGTGGACCACTGACGATCTCCGTGTTGTTGGCTGATGCTGGCTTGTGCTAAACTATTAGCCTCTCGAATAAGCCTCCTTAACTGTGAGTTGTGTCTGTGGATTCTGTGTCCGGAGTAGAGTCCTGGGGAAGGAATAGTTGGTGTCAGAACAGGGTACAGAAAGATGGAGGGTGAAGGCATGTCTGAACCCTGCTTTGTGGCAAGAGAGAAGCCAGAGGAGGTCAACTATGCCCCCTCCCATTGCTATTTAAAGCAGGCACAATCTAGAATGTTCTTTGTGTTCCAACAATGAGATTCAGATAAAGCTGTATCTCCAGTGACCAAAGATGGCCCCAGGCGTGCATCTCAGTTTATGACAGTGCTTCTCAACTTTCCTCATGCCGTGACCCTTTGATACAGTTCCTCAGGTTGTGGTGAACCCCCCCAACCATAAAATTCTTTTTGTTCAGATGACCCCTGTGAAAGGGTCGTTCGACCCCCAAAGGGGTTGCGACCCACGATTGAGAACCGCCGGTTTCTGAGCATCAGAGCAGATACCCCCGTGGGAGTCACGGCAACATTGTTGGGAGGAGTCTTGGTCCTAAAACACAAAAGCTAATGAAAGGCTCTCTTTCAAGAGATGCTTCAGAGACTCCGTCACCTGTTGTGCATCTATTTCCTTTGTCTGTTGCCACCCTGTCTGGGAGGTGGCTGTCCACTTGAAAGGACTTTCAGTTCACGGCTCCAATGCCGGAAACAAGCGTGATAGACCTGCGAGCCGCAGGCGGAAGTCCAGTGTAACATCAGCTCCTGTATGTCTTCTGGTCCCTCGCAGCAACCTTGGTGAGGTTTCGCTGGGTTGTAAACAGCAGTTTGGAAATGAAACGATGTATTGCATTGGGCACGTCTGCTGCACAGAACTTATTTTAAGGGATGGAAAAGCCAAAGACGCCACCTTGAACATTTGGTTGCACCTGGCCTGAGCCATGGTATTGTCCATCATCTCCTGTGCATGCAGAAACTGGATGAATCAGGAAGACCGCCGAAGCAGTGGTGCCTCTGAATCATGGTGCGTTAGTCCAGGTAGACGAGAGAAACAAATCCTGGTAGACTTATATGTGTCTAAGAAAGCTTTTTTTCAAGAGCAATTGAATATTGAGAAAACATCCCAGCCCTGTCCAGATCAAGTCCCTGAGTCCGATATTAGCCCATTTGTCTGGTACCAATCTATAAGTTCCCTTTCAGACTCATGAAACACATGCAATGATGCCGAATGCAGAAAGATCACTGGCCAGTGGGTGGAAAGTCTTGTGAATCCAGTGGTGGTAGAGGCATCTCAGCACCGGCAGGGGTCTCCACGTGGTTCCCTCAGCTCCAGGGCTCTAGCGCAGCTCCATGTGTCTTGTCAACAAGCATGCCTCTTAGGGAGTGAGCCTGTGTCCCACCTCCAGTGAGCTAT